AAGGCAGCTGCCGGCTGGGCAGCAACTCGGAACGTCCGTGTTGCTGCCAAACCAGCCAGCTGCGGACACACCAAGGCTAATCCCTCTTGTGCAGGGCAGAGCTTGAGCCACGCTAAGCTGGAAACAGTCCTGCCCCTGGTGCTGCAACCTGGGCTTCACTCCTTCCTTAGCCAGGAGGCCCTATCCTCGTGGCCCTTTAGCTTTTTGACGGCCCTCTTATAACGCGGGTCTAGGAAATAACACCCATTCGTGACTCTTTGTGACCCGAGGACACTGCAGCCATGTGGCCCTCCCCGACCTTCGTTTGGGAACCTGACCTTTATCTTTGGATTCCCTGTGTCCCTGGGTCTGGGCCTAGTTTCTTCTGGGGAGCCCTCATCTGTCTCTGGTGAAGCAGGAAGGGGCCTGCAGGGGGCGCTGTCTTTCCCAGGATATCCCATATCAGGCTGCCCCTGTCTTCTTGGGGGACTGTCACCCTGACCTGTTACCCTTGTAAAGGTAGAAATGCTGAGGAATAGAGCCAAGAGTCTGAAATTCAGTTAGGGATTTGGAGTCCTGTCTCAGTGAACTTCTGGGCAGCCCTGGCCCTGCCACACACAAGTTCAGGAGACGTTTCTTTATGGTGCTGATAGCTTTTTGGTTCGGGCTGAGAAGGGGACCGTGTCAGGGGGAGTCAGGAGGACCTTTGAACACAGTCCCACGCTGTCCTGAAGGCAGGGATGTGTTCCTGGAACATTCCATGCCAACCAGGCAATATTTCTGACCGTTTCTGTTCTGTGCAACGATCCAGCTGCCCCGTGTCATTAATCGAATGACTAATTTCATGAGAAAAGCATGTGAGATTTGTGCTGTATTTTCCACGGGTTTGTACCTCTAACCCATTCCAGCAGACTGTTCATTTATATTAGCTTCTAAATTTAAAACATGTGCTGCTTCCCTGAGCCATATGCGAGCGGAATTCGCTCCAAGTGTCTGAGCTGGCGACGTCGGATTCGCTCTTTCTGCCCCCAGGGGAGTGAAGTCAGGCGGGGTAGCTTTCCCTGTCTGTTTACCTGCGCAACGAATGGCCCTTTATCTGGAAGGACCCTCGAGACTCAGCATCCAGGCAGCGTGGCAAAGTTTGGCAGACAACATCCCTAACTATAAATAGAGTCTGATATTTTGTTCAGATTACTGACCAGAGTATTTTCAATAACTCTGGTCTCAATGACCAGCAGGATTCTCCCCCCAGAGGCCACAGTGCTGATCTCAGGATGGGCCGCAGGGAGTCTGTGGGAAGCTCTGTGGGCCCAGTTGTGCGTGGAGGCACACACAGTTCTAATTAGACCCGCAAAGCCATGAGCTGCGTAGTGGAGGAGAATCTTGATGCCAGAGATGGGCTGGTAGGTGCACCACGCAAATATCCAGAGACCCTAGGAAGAGCCACCACTCAGATCTCGCTCTTCATTGATATAAAATACGTGTTGAGTGTCTACTATTTGCCAAGTACAGGGACTCATCGGCAGTGACCAGGAGGCCTGCCCTGTGGAGCTTCATCCTGGAGGAAGTAGAACATTCCAGTGGGTGAAGGCTGATCCTTGACCCCCTCCGGGTCCTCAAGAGGTGCTGGGAACCAGCCCCTCCCAGTGTCGTCCCCCAGCCTGCACCCTCGCCCCCCAGCAGAGCGGGAAGGGTCAGAAAGGACACTGCACTCAGCCCGTTGAGTTCTGGATGCCAAAGGCTCTAGGACTCCGGTCAGCTCCTGATCCGTGCAGAGGGTCAGGGGCATGGCCGCAGGGTGGCACAGCGCTGTGAAAAGGGGCAGCCTCTGGGGGATGCCCTGTGGGGCAGTTGCCTGGGGAGAGTCATTCTAAGGATTAAATACGGTGATACTGTAAAGTGCTCAGTACAGAGCCCGGCTGACTGCAGCGTAAGCAGCTGTTATTCTGAACAAAGGGAGGGTCCTCACTGTCGCGTTCCTTGACATGCACATTAAATTAAGCGGTTTGAACGGATGATAATAATATTCTCCTGAACGACTTCACGATGTTAATGGAAGTTCTTGTCTCTATAGCAGAATGCTGGACGCCACCTTAATGCCCCCCGTGAGGCAAATAGCTGAGACGCTGCATCACTGCTGTACAACATCGCTGTTACTCAGCCGCGAGAGTGGGAATGGCGAGGACCAGGTTGCCTCTTGGAAGCCCGAGTGACATAATGGTGAGTGAAGAAAGCAGAATATAAAACTGCGTGCAAAGCAGGATTTAAATAGGGCAGGAAACCTGGACGCGAGCCGGGAAAAAGAGAACAGCGTGCTGGCGTGCGGAGGCGGGGGGACTTACCTTTCGCTGTTGTTAGAATGGTGCTGAAGGAATAAATCAGACTCTGCGATAACAGGAGAAAGGTTTAGTGGCCAAGGGAATGAGCGGTGTCTGCTCGAGGCTGACGTCTGAGAGGGGCACCGAGTCCGCGCGAGCCCCATCCTTCCGCCGCCTCCCCGCCAGCCCCCCGCCTGTGGCTT